GAGGAGGGACAGACACTGATCTTGTGACATAGAGACACAGACATCTCTTGTCTGTGGTGACCAGGGACAGGAGCCAGGGCACGGCTGGGGCAGCTCAGGCTGGAGCTCAGGCTGGAGCTCAGGGCAAGGTTCTTCCCCCAGAGGGTGCTGGCACTGCCCAGGCTCCCCAGGGAATGGGCACGGCCCCGAGGCTGCCAGAGCTCCAGGAGCCTTTGGACAGCGCTGCCAGGGATGCCCAGAGTGGGCTTGTTGGGGGGTCTGGGCAGGGACAGGGCCTGGGCTGGGTGATCCTGGTGGGTCACTTCCAACTCAGCTTCTTCTGTGACCCTGTAGTAGACCAGGTGTGAAAAGCTGCTTTAAATCACACCTGGCAGCCCCTGCATGTCCTGTGGAGTCAGTGCAGTCCCTGGATTTGTCACTTGGGAATTATTGAGGCCAGAGGATGAGTAGAGGAAAATCAGTACGTGAAGAGAGCAGGTCTTGATCCCGGGTGCTGCTCAGCTGCTTGGATCTGGTGAGGCTCTTGTTGGGTTGGGACGTGCTGGAGGTGCTGTGGGATGGCAGCAGGGCAGGGATGGAGCCCAGCTTGTGCTTCACCACTCACCATCCCATCCTGCTCCTCAAGGACAGAGCAGGGATGGCAACTCCAGCAGGAGCCCCTGGTTTGGGAGATGGGAACCACTCAGAGGGAGGGAAGAGGTGCTCAGTCCTTCTCAGCCCCCCTGTTCTGGGCTGCTGTGATGGGGAGCAAATGCTGACTCAGACTCTCCCTGCTGGAATATAATTATAGGATGATTTTATTAATTTAATGCCTAGATCAGTTACTTTTTTTCTGGCTGTTACAAGGTGAGGATTTGGATTGTCAAAGAGCTTTCAGTTTAAAAAGTGTAAACACCCTACATTTTCACTTTGGTTTTGGCTCATCAGCCAAGCAGCAAATCTAATAATGGGTGGAGAAGAGAAAAGCCACAGTAAGGAGATTCCTTCTGGAGCTGAGGATGCAGATTAACCCCTGAAGACTTCCAGAGAGGTCCCTGGTGTGTGAGAAGCCATTGGGTCTTTGCTCTGTCATTAATACTGCCTTGCAGACTTTGTCATCTCCCTTTGGAGGTGAGGTGGCTGCTGACTGTCATTGCTCATGTTGGAAGTTGGGCTCTATAAACTGGTTATTTTTGGCTTTAATAAATCTCTGTATATGGGGGCTCTTTGGTGGCTGGTCTGGGTGCAGCCTGAGTCCTGACAGCCTGACACAAGGTTGACTTCCCTTTTCTAAATGAGATCTGCATGACTACTCAGATTTACACTTTGTTGGGCGATGTTTGCCCTGGCTTCTCTCTCCTGGATATTCTATTACTCATTACTGTTCAAATCCTAGCAAATAAATAAATGATTTTTGCTATGGCAACAAGAACCTATTGGTTGAACAGCACAGTATTTCCTGAAAAGCCTGATTTACTCTTTTCAGAGTGTCTGATTGCTGGGCAGAGTATTTATATATAAATTTCTATATATATGTATATATGGGTTTGGATTGGACCCTGGGCTTGTGACACAGCTGTGCGTGAAGCCTCCAGCTGAGTAAAGAGTGACAAATCCCTGCAAACATCCACAGCTGAAGGGTGCAAAATTCTTCCTTGCCACAACTGGCAGCTGCTGTTGGGGCAGAACCAGGGGAAGCAGTGCTGAGACAGGCTGAGCAGAGGCCTCTGGCTGGGCTCCAGAGAGCTTGGCTCTGCTGGGACACGCTTTTCTTCTAAAGAAACGTCCCCTGGTGCCTTTTGTGTTCCCATAAAAGTCCCTGTGGTCTGGCAAGGCACTGCTGGCTGTGCAAACCTGTTGTCTGTGCCATGATGGCTCTTGGTTTTCCTTTTTGGCTGGTTTCTGGGACTGAAGCTGCCTGTGTTCCTTGCACACAGCACTCAGCTGTGCTCTGTAGCCACTCAGAGCATTTCTCTGCGCTGTGTGTCCCCTGGTTTTGCCTGAGTGCTTTGCCCTCCCTATTTTGTTGGGTCAAGCAGAGCTGCTTTGTGCTTCCCTGAAAGCCCATTGTGCTTAGAGAGGGGAGCTCAGGTGCTGCCACAGCAGGGTTTGGGGTTTGGGGCTCTCTGCCCATGGGCAGGGCTGACTGCGTGCCCCAGGGTCCATCCTGTGCCAGTGCCTGGTTGTGCCCCGTGTTTGCTCTGCCTGGGTGTGCCCAGAGCTTTACTGCAGCAGCCGTGGGGCTCTGCCTGGTGCAGGCTCTGGGAGCAGGGGCTGGGATCTGCCACAGGGCAGGTCAGTGTGATTTGGGGGAACTTGTGCCACGCTGCCCCCGTGCCACACACAACTGCCTGTGTGAGCCTTGCAGGTGGTCTTGGCCCCAGCTGTGCTCTGGGCCAGGAGCTGGCTGGCTGCTCTGTGTCAGGGGCTCCAGCATTGCCTCCTGCTTGAATTGGCTGTGGAGAGTGGGAGCTGTTGAGTCTGGGGCTGTTGGTGTTGTCACTGAGTTCTGTGTGGGGTGTGGGTGTCTTCAGGCCGTTTTTGCTCCGTTCTGCTCTTTGGTTTTGCTCCCTGCTGAGGCTGTTTTCTCCTCCAGCACTGCATGCACCTTTGGTCCAAACTGGACTCAAAGTAATTTTTCTTAGAGATTTTCTCCAGATAGCGGAAAACCAGGAACATTTAGTTCCATCTCCCAAGCTTAAATTTAAACCCCAAGGCATATCTCTCCCATCTGCTTTGTTTTCCATATTTAGCCAAGTACTTCTTGCCCCTCAGTGCCATTGGCAGCACTGGTAAGTGGCCTCTATGCAGTTTGTGGTTCTGGGATGGCTCCTGAGCTTCCAAGAGCCCTGGGCACCTCCACCCTGGTGGCCTTTGTGCCTGTCAGCATGGCTCATCCCCACAGGACAGACGCCACATTGTGAGCAGTCGCAGCCTGGCTCGGATCAGGGAGCATCTAGGTCAGCAGCAGGGATGGGAAATTCAGGGAGCAGCAACTGGGATGCTCTCAGCTTCAGGACCATTTCACTCCAGTCCCCTTTCTCTGAAATAGAACCATTCTTCTCCTCTGTGTCATTTGGGGAAACTCAGAGTAGCTGGGACAGGGAAAGGGGAAAGGCAGCTGGTTCCCTCCATGCAGTTTCCATCCTGCCTTCTCCTGGGAACAGAGCAAGGAGCCAGCCTGTGTCCAAGGTCCATCCTGCCCTGGGGCAGAGTAGCTCTAGCTCCAGCTGTGGTTTGCAGTGTGGAGCTGCAGCTGCTCCCTCTGGTACCCAGATTCAAACTAAGCTCCCCTTGCTGCTTTGCTGAAAAGCAGCAGTGAAATGCTCCGTGTCCTGCTCTGATCCCTCCAGAGCTCCAGGGATCCTGTGCATGGGCAGCACAGGTGGCACTGTGACCTGCTGGCAGCTCTGGCTCTTGGAGACATCCAGGTGTGGCTTTGGCAGCCCCTAATAATGTCACTCCAGTGCTCCAACCACTGCTGTGACAGGGAATGGGTGCACATTGGCACTCTTGTTGCTTGGGGCCAGATCCCACTTCCCAGCCTCTGGGGATTTTCTGTATGACAGAACTATGGGATAAATGTGCTGCACTTGCCCCTGGCCTGTCATTACACAGCATCTGGAAAGATCAGAACCACTGGGCTCCTGCCACCTGTCACAAGTTGCCATGTCCTTTCCATTCTGTTCATAACCCTATTAGCTGAATTTTAATTGTATTTATAAGTAAAGGGATCACAACACCCTTTTAGACAGCTGCTCCTGAACCTTGATCTGTGTTGGCTAAATACTTCCCTACTTTTGGCATGAACTTATTCCTGGCAAGCTTATCCTCCTTATTTGTCTGATGTGTGCTGGCATCAGCAGTTCTCTGCTCCTTGGTGGTTATTTTCTGGAGTACTTACAAAGAGCTGTTATGCTTTTTCTCCACCTTCACTTTTGCTGGTGTGAAGTTTTTGCCAGTGAACCTCCTGTGCAGCTGTTGAGGTGACCTGTGACCAGATCCCTGGAGCACAGTGGTAGGTAATGATTGGGACAGGCAGGGCTGCAGGGGACAAACCCCTCCCTCAGCTTTCCTTTTCAGCTTGGACAAGCACATCTGCACAGGGAGGAGAGAACCAGGCAGTCCCTGTTTCCCGCAGAAATGCCTTGCTGCATTCCTGGTTTATTTAAGCAGCATCCTAATGATGATTGCAGTCCTGTAGCCAATCCCAAAGTTTCTTCCTCAATTATTCACAGGTGATGAACTTCTCTTAGGGCAAAGGTTGCTCTTAAACTTGATTCCATTTTTAGTGTTTTTGCTCTCTAGTTTTCTTCATGGCCATAAAATTCCGGTTAGCCCTCGATGAACTCTTGTGTTTGCGTCACTTTCATGTCTCAGTCTCCCAGTTACGGTGGAAAGGTCACTAGTGACAATACCAGATAAAACTGGTTTCAAACCAGAACCTTTAAGGCCTCCCCCTTGTCCAGTATTTTCCCTGTCTGCTACCACCTGTTACCATCTCTCCTTTAGCTGCTTCCTTTTTCTCCCATCTGGTTTTAAGCCCTGTTTAATGTAGCTTAAATAGCTCTTTGCCAGAATGTCCTCCTAAGACTGGAGTCCTGATCATGGATGTTTCCGTTTCCTGGAGCTTGGATACACAAAGGAGTTGCCAGGAATTAGCAATGTCACCTTTCCAACTTGTGGGTGTTTTCCTGCTTGTCTCTCCCATGACAGACATGATGGCAGCTCCTGCTGGGTGCCAGTGTGAGGTGCTGGCAGAGGGCACAAAGACAGAGATGCTCCAGACCCCTAGGCTTCCTGCCTCCGTCCCATCCATTTGGCTCTGCCTTTGGGGTTTCCCTCAGCGTGGCAAGAGATCCACCAAGGCACTTGGGGAGGGACTGGGGGGTCTGCAGTGGCAGTGGCTGCTTTAAACCAGGGGGCAGCCCTGGTGTGGGCAGTGGCCTGTGCCAGAGCCCGTGTGGGCATCAGTGGGTTCTTGGGCTTCTCCCTGATAATTCTTCTTTGCTGTTGCCCAGATGAAGATCTCTTTCAATGAGACAAGTTTGCAGACGATGTTTGAATACCCCTCAGAGAGCTCCCTGGCAGAAGAGGATGAAGAAGAGGAAGGACACGCTTCTGAAACGGAGGAAAAATCTCGTACCTTTTATATTCCACGCCCAAACAGCACTTTGCATCCCAGTACACCTAACTCAGGTGAGTGAGGCACTGTGTTGGCACCATGGGGTTTCTGGTGGTGTCTGACACTGCCCATGCTTCCCACAGACCCTTAAGGGGCTCCAGACGAGTGGAAATGCTAGTGGAGGTGAACAGGGAGCTGTAGATGGGCAGCTTCCAGCTGTCCCTGCTGGGATCCTGGTCCCACTTCTTTTTGGGGTGGTGAGGAATATTTACCTCATCTTTCTCCTGACAGCAGATTTATCCAGCTACACCCCAAAGCACTCCGTGAAGTTCAGCGAGTGGCAGGAGCAGAAGTATGAGGGTCCTGCTGCAGAGGGATCCCTCCCAAAGGAAGCCGATTCCCATGGGAACCAAGTCATGGTGAGGCTATAAATAACCAGCTCTTGTGCTCCCTTGTGGGGTGGGGGTTGTTCCAGGCAGTGGATGGGACAGGATGTGCCTTTCCCTGCACACCTGTGTTTGTGTTCCTGCCCAGGGAGCTGTCACTGCTCCCAAAGGGACCAACACACCGTCCCACTGCTACTACCACACCTGCCCCTCCCTGGCCGTGTGAAGGAGACTCAAGGCAGCTGGCACACTCTGCTCAGCACAGAAAAGACATGGACCTGTTGGAACAAGTCCAGAGGAGGCCATGGAGATGCTCCAAGGGCTGGAGCCCCTCTGCTCTGGAACCAGCCTGGGACCTGGGAGAGCTGGGGGTGTTCACCTGGAGAAGAGGAGGTTCCAGGGACATCTCAGAGCCCACTCCAGTGCCTAAAGAGGGCTTATAAAAAACAGGGAGATTGATTTTTTTTTTTTAATTTTTTTTTTTTTTAACATGGGCAGGTGAAAGGACAAGGGGGAACGGTTTTAAACTAAAAGAGATTTAGATTAGATATTGGGAAGAAATTGTTCCCTGTGATGGTGGTGAAGCCTTGGTGCAGGGTGGCTGCCCCTGGATCCCTGGAAGTGTCCAAGGCAAGGCTGGACGGGGTTTGGAGTGACCTGGGATAGTGGAAGGTGTCCTTGCCCCTGGCAGGAGGTTGGAACAAGGAGGGTTTTAAGACCCCTCCCAACCCAAACCATTGCAGAACGTTCTGGTACTCCAGGGCACATTTGGAGGGGGGCACTAACCAAACACACCCAGTTAGCCCGGCAGGGTGCCAAGGCCCCATCCAGGGGTTAGGGGGCTCCTTTGGCCCGGTCTGACCGCGGTGTGTGTGCTCTGCCCACAGCTCACCCCGGCGGAGAAGGGCGGTCTCTCGGATTTCAGCAGCGAGCCCGCGCTCTATTTCTGAGGCTGCTGGGCAGGACGGGGCAGCGCAGCCCGCTCGGGAACCGCGCCCGCACCGCGGCTCTCCCGGATCCTGCTGCCAAGGGTGGACCAGGTGCTCTCGGGCATCTTCGGAGAATATTTGCACTGGATTTTGGGGCCGAATTACTGCTTTCAAGGCGTATGATTTATTCTGCCTGTGGCCTTGCATATTCCTTGCTCAAGATCAGCTGCCGATTTGGCAAGTGTGGGAAGGACATCTGTAAGCCTGGGATGGATGTTGATTTTTCTCAGAGCTTGTCTGAGTCCAGGCACTGTGCAGGGTCTGGACAGCTTTTGCAATCCTTCTCCCCAGTGGAGGATGGCTCTGGAGTGGAGCACTGGGCAGTTAGGTGGGTGCACAGCGTGGCTGTGATTTGACACATTGGGTGTCAGTTTGGAAAACCATTGAAGGTTCATGGTTTGTCCTTGGCATGTTTCCAGCTCTGGTATCACTGAAACATCGTGGAATTCATGTGCCAGTTACATGCTTGTGGAGCTCACTGAACACCCCGAGGGAGGGATGGGAAGAGCAATGAATGCCTTTAGCTTTAGATGTTATTTTTGCACCAACTAGTAATGTTCAGACTGCCTCCAGCCTCTTGAAGATTCCCAAACATTGGCCATAGCTTTGGTCTGTCCTTCCCAACTCTGGCATCCAGTCTCGGGGGGTTGCTGGTTGTGCTCTAGTTTGCCAGCTCCTCTTGTTGCTTTGTTCCAAATCTGATTGATCTCTCTTGGTTGCTTCCTTCAAGCCACACTTGTTCTGCTCTTCTAGTCAAAGCACAGGAGGGAAGTTTCACTCCATTCTTCTGCAGAACTTGAACAAGGAATGTGGGTTATTTTTGTTTTTTCTAGGATTTTTATAGTTCTATTATAATTGTTTAATGCAGCCAATATGCAAAGAAATCTACTAGAATCTTCCATTCAAGTTTTCTACTACTGTAAACTCAGGGTCAAAATTGCACTCTGGAACAGATGGAGCAGTGCTGCTAATGTGATCTGTACTTTGGGATTAAAAGAGATGTGGTGAGAACAGATCCAGCCTCTTTGGGCTTTATGGAATGAGTGGGGCGTGATCCAAAGGAACAGGCTGCTATCTTTGATTAAATTTTATGGTTACTGGTTTGTCTATTATAGATGATGAGTGTCTGCTCAAGTGACACTGCTCTGTGAACTGAAAATGCTCTGCATACCTTGCACTTGGTTTGGTGTCTGTTGTAGCAGCAAGGGAAGGTTGTTCTACTGAAAAACACAGGATTAAACGTTAGGACATACCTACTTGTAGCTGTTCACTTCTGCCCTGGGTGCCTAAATTCTTTTGGAAAGATAATGAAAAAAAAAAAAAAAAAGCTACTCAGTAGTTTTAGATGTTGGCTGGGGGGGGCACAAAGAAACATTTTGCACCTCCTTGTCCCTCCAAGCTAATTTGAGATCTGCTGCCTGTGTGAGTTGCCAGGAGCAAGATGTGTCTGCAGTGCATCTGCCTGACACAAGGACCATGGAGTTCCATGTGTTGAGGCTTCTCCCATTAATAAAATACTTCAGGATAAGGTGCTGAAACTGGTGTAGAATGAGGGAAAATGTGAGACTGCTGGTGACTGCTAGATTTATGAGGTGAATTTTCAGCACAGCTTTTCTAGTAAAAAAGGTCCCAGTGAGCATCTTTCCCTGTGGAAAAACCCAGGTCAGTTTAAGGCAGCTCTATTTCTTGCAGAACTGCAGGAGGTAAAGCAAAGCTGCTTTCAGCTCAAGTTAGGGACAAGGGGTCTGAACTAGCCCAGGCTTAGTTCTCCTGTGGATCCATGAGGAATGCTAAAGCCAACACTGTCCTGCAGCTCAAACACTGCTCTGGTTCTCTGTGAGTTAATGCTGTGCCTGCAGCCCTGTGGGCAGGACAGCTCGGGGCTGTGGGGGTGCAGGGCATGGTGCTGACTCTCTGCTCCTTCTCGTGGTGAACCAGCTCCACCTTGGAGCTGAGATTCAGCACTCCTCTGCACTTCCCAGCTTCCTGCTCTAATCTCTGCCCAGGCACTCCAGCTGCCTCCAGGCAGAGCAGGGTGAGGGCAGTCCTGAGGACAGGAGCATCAGCTGATGGGTCACCTCCTGGGATGTGCCTCAGGATGGCTGTGCTCAAAATGAAGGGTATTTTTGTGTAAATGCCTACTCTGCTCTGTAGCATTGGAGGATCTGCCTTAGTGCGTCTCTGACTAATACCAAAGCACATCTGAAAGGAAAATTTACTTCTGCAAAGCAAAGGCTTTTATTAAATGTGGCATCTTTGGACCACAAAGCAGCTCTCTCTGGCCAACAGGACATTCCAGGCTGAAGAAGTTTAGGAATGCTTTTGTCGACGTATTCGTGGTCCTAATGAAGTGTTTTGCGGATCAATGATTTTATCAAGATCCCTCATTTCCTTCTTCAGGATATCTAGCAATGTCTGAGAATTGTCCAGTGTCTGGGAAAGAAATAAAAATAGCGTATTTTTACACAAACTGTTTCTCTTATGAATTCCCTTCCAATTCATCTGATCTGCCTTGCAGCAAGAGGGGCTATCCGGCCTTTCGGCCTCTAATTCCTGGTGATTTATTGTCCTGTCTCAGTGTGGGAATATCTGTGGGCCAGTTTCTCTGGTTTGTGTTCATATTCTGAATATGAAAGGCCTTAAGCAATTTATCTGCCTTGGAGCACAAGGCAGAGAACTTCCTGAAGCAGACTGGGGGTTTCGGTTGGTTTGGTGTTTTTTGGTTGGTTGGCTGGGTTTTTTTAAGGGAGATTTGGTACCTGGGCTTTTTAGGTCAGTATTAAATTGTGTTCAACTGACCCAGTTTCAACTCTTTTCCACTATTAAAACTGCACATTTTGGGTTTCTGGCTTCAATACTTACTCAAATCTACAGTGACCTTGTCAGACTAGATCTGTTATTAATTTTCTCCTATTTTTAGCTCACTGTGTACATAATCTAACATCCCTACTTCCTGTGCTCTAAACTACAACATATTTAGGAGACCTTGCTGCCTGTCCACCTCACCAGTTAAAAATTTTAACACAGTGGACAATTGTAACCAAATGTTATGGTTATAGTCCCAAAAATAATTTATGTTCCTGTGAATTTGTGGAAATCATCAAGTGATCAGAGAGGAGCTGAGGGAGTGCCCCACAGGAGGAGGTGCTGGAGGAAGGTGAAATCCTGTGGGGGCTGGCAGAAGGCAAGGAGTAACAAACCAGGAAAGGAATTCTGTTACTTTCTGTCTGTAGGACACCAGCATCTCCTCCTCACTGCCTCTTCCTACCTCCTGTGGGTGTCAGTTCATTTCAATAAACAGGAATTCATCTGTAGGCTGGCGGTGTGACTTGGATCTCAGGTAAGCTTTCTTTTTGAAGGGGCTGTTTGTGTACCTTACAACATAGTTTTTAAGCTTTTAAATTTTTATGTGAGTTTCCCCTTTCACTTCAAACCATCAGGTCTTGAAGGAGGTCAAGGAAACATCTCCAGCTTCATCTGAAAAGTGATTGCCGGGGCAAGCACTGACTTTGGGAGAGGAAGAGGAGCTGACACAGTAGTTGGTCATATTCAAAATGCAAATGGAAGGAGAATTTAGGCAGCAGCTAATAGGGGAAAGGTGTTTCTGACACAAACTCTGCCTGGTCACCATGAGAAGGAAGATTGTCACTTATCTGAAAAGAGGCTGGGAAGATCCTTTTTTAAAGAAATAAAAGCTGTTGGTGTGTAATACAGAAGTGACTTCAGCTGTGGCCCTGTCTGTGGGGATCAAGCAGTCCCTGCCTGCCAGTAGCACACACGGGAATGGCTAGAGCTGTCTCAGGAACCAAAATGACAGTGCCAGCTCTCGTGCTGTTTGCCTCCTTCCCACCCTTTACTGCCCCAACAATTTGACTCTTTTAATGACATTGTTCCATTAAAGATGAAATAAACTACACTAAATATTGGGCTGGAAGAGTGGAAGGCCAACAACTCCATCAGCATGATTGTTCTCTGCCTGAGTTAGCAGGATTGTGGGTCAGTGTCATGTCTCTGGTTTCCTTCCTTCCCCCAAACCATGGATCTGAGATGGTAATTTTTAGGGGTCTGTTCCAAAAGCTATTTAAAATGTATTTTGACAATACACTTTGCCCAGGCCCAAGCAGCACCAAAACAACCCCCAACCCAACCCTCTCATGATGGGGTCTGTGTGCCAGAGCTGCATCCCGGGCCCGGGAAGTTTTGGCTGCAGGGTTACAACCCAGGGAGGAGTGGTGGTTCATCGAGGTGCTCCCAACCGACCTTCAGGTAAATACAGACCGAGTTCACACATACATACACACACATATGTATATGTGTGTATATATATATCCCAAACCTCCAGTGACACACCGTTAGGCTGGAGCTCAGGGCAAGGTTCTTCCCCCAGAGGGTGCTGGCACTGCCCAGGCTCCCGGGGCGGGGAGGAGGGGAAGGGGCTCCTGGGTGTGCGGGGATGGTGTATGCTGGGGGCTGTCAGGGAAGGGCCGCGGGCCCAGCCGCCCTGTCTCCCTGTCACCCCAGCCAGGAGTGGGACCGAAAGGCCGCAGCTTGCTCGGCCGTGCTGTGGCTCTGCTCCCACTCCGTCTGAGGGAGTTGGGCAGCCAAGGGTGGCTCGCAGCATTTCCACCAGCACCCGTGTCCTGCAGCAGCCGCCTGCAGGGACAGCAGTGATGTGTACGGGTGTGAGCCCTGGGAGGGGGCGCTGGGCATCCAGCGGTGGGCTGAGACCCCGGTACATCGCCATGGAGGGGCAGCATCCCCCCAGTGCAGTTTGACAGCAGAGTCCCTGTGAGCTCCATCAAATGCTTAGCTCATGTTCCCTCCGCTTTCCAGGCAGCCCCGAGGCCCGAAGCTGCCGGGCCGCTGCAGGATGCCGAGCTCCGGGCAGCCCTGGACGTGCTGCAGTGCTACGACTTGCACTCCGTCGTGGAGGAGTGGTTCATCGAGGTGCTGCAGACTGACCTGCAGGCGAATATCGCCCCCGAGTTCTGGAACTGCATTGGCCAGTATGAGACCACGGCCGAGGAGCCCCAGTGCGCTGCTCTGCTCCTGGACGCGTTCAGTCTGCTCAAGTGCCGCCTGGAGCCCTACCTGAACAGCCTGGAGCTCCTGGAGCAGTGGACCAAGGCAGGCCTGCTCCTGGGCACAGGTGCTCAGACATTGCAGGAGAAGGTCTACACCATGTTCAAAGCTATCCTCTTCTTCTCCACGACCAAATCCTTCCAGGAGATGATCCAGCAGTTCTACAGCCGCACGTTCAGGATATACATGCGGCAGTGGAAGAAAGGAGAAGATGGAATGAACGAGTGTGAGAGTAGCATGAGTGAGACTGAGCAGGAGAGTGACCCAGAAGAGGGTGGAGGAGAGAGCCAGCTCTGTGCAGGCTGCAGCAGCAAGAGGGAACAGTGCTGGTGCCCTGAAGCCATGGAGCAGTTCCAGCAGCTCAATGACATTCTGTAGGTATCTCACGGGGTGGTGGCTGTCACTCGGAGCAAGGGGGGTATGGATGGGGAGCAGCAGCAGGTTTTATTGATCCCTGAGAATAGGAGGAGCTGTGTGAGGTCAGGCTGTGTCATGGTGGTGGGTAAAGAACTCGACATTCTGATTTCAACTGGTGGTTGAACAAGAGCAGATCCTTAGACAGAAAGTTCCTCTCCCTGGATATGAGAATATCCTCCTCTTGCTCTGAGCCTCTGACCACAAAGAAGCAAACCAGTGCAAGGTGTCCCTGCCCGTGTCAGGGGTTCCAACTAGATGATCTTTAAGGTCTCTTCCAACCCAAACCATTCTCTGATTCTATGAAACTCTTCTAAATGAAAAAGCTTTTGATGGCTTTAAATGTCTGTAAGGAGGATGGAATAGCAGTAGTGCCATGTGTTACATGTGTAGTGCATCTGTGTGGGCTGTCAGAGCATGTGGCCCAAGCTGGGCCTGCCTCTGTGTAATGTACAGGGAGGGTGGTGCCTCCAGCTATAAGATTTTCTTGATTTGCTGGTGCCTTTTCTCCCACATGCTCCTGACGGTGTCCCTGTGCCCACAGCCGCCGGCTGAATTTGCTGGAGAGGGTGAGTGCTGACGCTGTCACCACCATCCTGCACAGGATGATCGAGGAGAGGATGGAGCAGCGCTGCCGCGGGGAGTACGAGCACTCCTTCCTCAGTGAGTTCCAGGAGGTAAGGCACGTGTGGGGGCAGTGAGGGCCCTCCTTGGGAGATCACAGAATTCACAGAATCACTGGGCTGGAAGAGACCTTCAAGATCGAGTCCAACCCACCCCCAACCCCTCAACTAAACCCTGGCACCCAGTGCCACATCCAGGCTTTGTCAAACACACCCAGGGATGGTGACTGCACCACCTCCCTGGGCAGCCATTCCAGAGCTTTATCACTCTTTCTGTAAAAAACTTCTTCCTAATATCCAGCTTATATTTCCCTTGGTGCAGCTTGAGACTCTGGTTCTGTCAGTGCTATCTGGAGAAAGAGCCCAACCCCACCTGAGCACAGCCACCTTTCAGGGAATTGTAGAGTGATAAAGCTGTGCAGCTGTTGTTGTTTTTTAGCAGCTCAGGCTAAAAGCAGATTCCAACTTAAAACACCTGGTCCAGGGCTAGGACTTCCACCATGCCTGGCAGGAGAGGTGGCTAAAACTCCCCATTTTGGCTGATGCTGGGGAGGAAGGTTTGCTCTGACCTGAGCATGAAGCAGTCACATTTCACCTCATGATGTGTGTAGTAATGAGGGAATTTCTGTGGTTCCAGTTTACAAACCACAAGATCAACAAGTGCCATCTGGCCTGCAGAGGGTCCTCCCTCTGTGTAGCTGAGCCCATAATTAGAATTTCTGTGGCTGTTTTCAGTCCTCTTTCCAATTCCCCTATAAAATTGGAAGCAAGGGTGAGAGAGGATACTCTGGTATTGATCTCACCAGTGGCTACACAGAATTAAAATAATTCTTTGCAGCTGCCCAGTTGCTTTGCTGCTATTTCAACTAAGTTTGTGTTGAGCTGTTTACCCATCAAGACTTTAAAATTAAATTATTCTCCAGGTTATGGCTCCTCCAGGACACAATCCTGAGCTCAGTGCTCCTTGCACATGACCTTCCCTTTGCGTGTGCTGGAGAACCAGGCCTGCAGCCAGGTTCCCATGCAAGCCAGACACCCTGGATCCCTCACTTTTTGCCATGCCAACCGTTTTTGTTGCTGAAAACATCAGGAATCTTTTTGTGTTTACTTCCTTTTGGTTGTTGTGCAACACTTTCTTCACTGCACCTCGTGTGAAATGCTTTTGGATGACCTGGAGATTGTTTAAGGATATTTTCAGGGAACCACAGAAAACACAACTGCATTCCACTCGTGAGATGCTGCCCTTGCTTCCACCTCTTGTTTGGCCTTAGAGTATTGGAGGATGTCAGGATTAGGAAGAGGTAATTTTAAGGAAAACAAATTAAAAGCACAGGCCTGGAAATCTAAT